TAAGCGCGCGCCAGCTATGGATATCCCGTTTGAATAGCATTAAAATAATTGGCATATCACGGAGGTCGGAATACCACAGTGCGTATATACGCTGCATCGTAATGCAAAGGTCCCTGGTTCAATTTCCCCCAGCGGTGACAGCTTTTTTTAATTTATTTATTTAAAAATTCATCATGATGATGATGATGTCGTCACCATCTTGTTATTGTCATTAAAGTGTTATTTGTTGCGGTTTCGATAAGCTCACGCTCCCGCTACCCCGCTTCCCCGCTAGAACACAGGCCGCGTTCCAGTTAAGATTAAAGCATGTATTTCCCTATGCTGGTAGTCATGCTCTCTTAGTTTTAACTACTAGGAATTAACATATTTGTTGAAAAAAAAAATGAAGATTGAAGATCATCACTTCTAATCAGGGTCCCATGATATAAAAGAAGAAATGATGATTGTAGGAAGAGGAACCTTATATGCATCGAATTAACAGGGTTAGACCTCATTTCTTATATTCTATTTTCATAATTTCATGGACAGGTTGAAGAGGTCAAGGTACTGTAATATTGTACTGTATAATATGTTTATTCATTCTGAAGGCGATTTTTCTAATGGTATGTACATTTCATTTTTGTTTCAGGTGAGAATTACTACTTTTCCGATCAAGGAAGAAGTTATATGTTGTGAAGACATGGTATTATGTGAGTATAGGATAATTTTATTCAGTTCATATCGCAATAGGTGAAAACTTAAGGGATTTTTCCTCCTACCTCTATCCAAAGTATACGTTCCTGGCCTCATTGTTGGGAGCATACTCCGAAAAGTTGTATGATAGAAGGTTTTAAATGAAAATGAGTGACTTTGTCCAATAGATATAATTATCACTTATCAATTTCATTAAGTTAATAGAACCGAACAAAATTATCGCGATTGTCACCCGTTGCTATAAGCTACGTAATCGAAAAGTAGCCTTCTAATTGGTAGAAAATAAATGCATGTAATCTTCAAGATAATTATGTCATCTTCATTATTTAGATATTTTAAACATCGATATCAATATTGATGTGAATAAAAACGTATTGAAAAGAATATATGGAAAGCTCTTGTCTATGGTCATAACTCATCATAGGTTTCTAATGAATTTGACATAAAAAAAATATTCCCAGGCCCCGACGAGATTCGAACTCGTGATCTCCTGTTTACTAGACAGGCGCTTTAACCAACTAAGCCACGGCGCCGTTGATATCACGGGAACTTTAATAATTATTTGGTGATTGAATTAGTAAAAGAGTAAGTCCGCCGGTACTACATCGGGAGTAACGGTAAGTCCCAGCATTAGAGAGTACTTTGGTTTTATACAGGGTCCCGCCGATATCCTAGGGACAGTATTGCTATGTTTTAAATGGTTAGAGACAGAGCGTTAATCAACTTAGACAAAATTTGCGTACCTAATTTAGACGGTTATTTAGACCTCTTCAATATGCAATACCTACCTACCTGTAGGTAAACGTCCTGATTATCGACACCTCAAACCTCAAGGAACGATACTGTACCAGCTATCGACACCAAACAACGACACCCAAAATACATCAATTGAATTCTTCGAACAGAACAAGACTTTTTTCTTTCTGTATCTGAATATTCATAGGGAAAGATAGAAAGCTATGTATTGTACCATTTATCGACACCTATGTCTATATTGGGTACATACTGTAAAAAATAATGTATACCATATATAGTTATCGACAGTACAAAATAATACATGTACCTACTTATTTTATGCCAAATTATTTTGAAAAAGCATGAATTGCAGCTTCTAAATATATGTTGACAACTATCTCCATATGAAGTAACCAAAAAATTTGAAACTAAAACATTCGGACAACGATTTGTATCAGGTCACGTGTACTGAGAGAATGAGGAAATTGAATAATTTATTGAATTCATATTTTCTGTCTTAGCGTCCGGATCATTTGAGGGAAAGCAGAAAAAACCTATACTTGTTTCTTACTATGGTGTGATAATAGATGAAGCAGATTCTTATTTTTCTGATTTTCAGTTCAAAAACGTCGATGATTGGGACAATTGGGGCGTTTACCTAATACCTATACCGTTTTGCAAACTGCTGAGAAAATTTCAGTCGTTCCTGAAATAAGTATTTTGAAATTACTGAAACTTCATGATTTTGTTTCGTATTATCCCAGGTAAAAAAATCAAACAGGTAATACCTAATTAAACATTACTCATATGACAAACAAGTTGAGATTATCAGAAGTACCTATATATTCTATCCCTCATTATAAGCAGAGCACCTATATTCATACTTGTCTTATCGAAACACCGCAATATTATGCCTTATTTAAAAAAAATTTATGAGACTCAGAAATGAATCTCTAATTAGGTGTATTGATAATTAACAACGATACGAAACTCTTGCACTATATATACACATCAAGTCGAAATTTATAGGTGTCCAATTAAAAAAAGCGTCACTTCTTCCATCCAATTCATCAGAATTTAACGTCTGTTCGACTCGATAAAAATGCCGCTGTGTTTCAGCTAAATGGCGCTCGAAATAATTTTTGGTTAATTAGCTGCTTTATTAAATTCCCCTGGCCATTATTCATCAAAAGAGCCGAACTACATCAACTGTGTGTGTGTATAATCTCACAACAGGTGTAACAACAAAATGCGTTAGCCTAGAAGCAAATGAGATCGATTTATAAATATATATAAGTTGGCTCAAGTGGTTCCTTTACAACATATCGGAGTGCTTGTTTTCTAGTGAAAAATATACAAAAAAACATTTTTTATGAACATCAATATTTGGAGGATATAGAAAACTAATTTTCCATGTGGATTCAGTCGATGTTGAAGGACTAGTCCTTTCCAGAACGCGTGACTTTGGTGTGCATAAATTTTTTTTGAACAGCCATTGGATCGTTCGTGTGCATCGTGCCTTCAGTTCAAGGTTGAATATCGCTCCCCACGGCAAAATAAACCAGGAAAAATAATTTCATCACATTGTGGAACATTTTCAAATCCATGTACGTACCTGATTATAATTATTCTCATCAGTATGGTGAAAAAAGTCTGTAAAAGAGAGGCAACAATTGGTTGAAAACGAAACAACAAATCTTCCGAAACCACAATGGGCGTGTACACCTTGGTAGAACTTTCAACTGAAACCATGTTTATAATGACCCTTTTATACATAAATAATGATTGACGACATAATTTGATCGAAAAATTAACTGGAATGTTTTATTTTTGGACATACATTATAGAACCATCTGAAAACGGACCCTCTCATGACGTAGAAACCTCATCTCGTCATAGTTAAAAGATAGTACCAAAAGCCCGACGGAGACTGAGGCAACTGATATATTAATTCTTTCAACTGTGATCTCGCGCTAATTCTCTGTCAGAAATCATGTATCATTCATTTCTGTCTGGAATAGTCTTGTTTCAGTATTAGGATTTTGACGTCACATCATCGCCTCGTTTTCAGAGGTCCGAAAAATCGGGGATTTCAATAATTTTTTATAAAACGTAGGGAGCTCACATCAAGAAACGGTTTGCGGTGGTGAGTTAGGGTGAGTTCTATCGAATTATGAAATAAAAATATCTTGTGATATAAGCCCATTATGCGGCTTGCTTCTGTTTGTTGATTCCGTCGATTTCTTGTTCCGTCTTCTACCAAGTGTTGCTTATCTTTGGCACATTTTTTTCACCGTACTGATGAAGGCTGGAAGCCTGAAACTTTTGTCTACGCTTAACTTTTTATGAGCAGGGCTATGTCCAATAATTGTATGTTTGTTTGCTTAAAACTGTTCCCTCAATAACCCTTCCATCATACCTAATTATATATACAATATGAATAGGTTTTTTTGTAGTAGGACTTCAACAGTTTGAAGAACACACTTTTTCAAGATGGAAATTTCCTGTGAACATAATAATATATAATTCGTGGGAGCTTGGTACCTATCCGAAGGGTATCAAAGTTCGAGGTTTCATAAATGTTTCTTCAAGTTTTCTTCTACAATTTCCGAAATGATGAGATGATATTTGGTACACCCATTATACCTGACCAACTGAATATGTTTGATCACCTACAGGATGCTCTTCTATGTATTCAGAAAACTCTATGCCAAAAATAACACACTCTATTCAATTGTCATTTATTCATAGTTGACTAGAAGACCCGGAATGATCGAAAGCTTTCATGAGATGTGATATAATGTAATTCAGTGGCGAAACTTGAAAAATACAAAAGAATATATAAAAATATCGCACCACCGGTATATCGAGAAAGGGGCCAATTCGCATTATATTATGTTCATATGAAATTTCCATACCTCATTTAATCTATCGAATTCCCCCTACAAAAACATGATTCACATTCTTCTGTAACCTAAAGATGACACAATAAATATTTTAGTGATTCCTATCGTACATCTGCTTAACCAAATCAATCAATAGGTGTAGTGCACGATGACCGATATTGCACGCAACCAATATACTTTCTCAAAAACAGTAGTATACCTACATATACATATGAAAACATGTCATCGCTATGTCATCTTATGACCTTGGCGACCGCATGTCAAATTCGACAGCCGATTGATAAAAAATCGTCATTATCATTTTGCATTGTTTCCAAAGCAGAAACGACTGTTCCTGACCCAAAATTTGCATGATAAAGAAAATTCCAATATGATACGACTACAACGATTGCACTGTATAAATCAATCAATTATATCTACCTATCATCTTGAGATTCAAAGGCATTAGAGGATCATCGCCAGCAATAAACTTCCTGATTAGATGGTTGCCTTTCGAGCATATATATATATATTAAGCCACAAATTGAATGAAATAAAGAAAACAACGAAGGCGACGTGCAAATTCAATTCGTTCAGAATAAGGTAGCGGGACAAAAATCCGGGACAAATGCACAAAACAGGCTCTACGGCTCACTTCGACTTCAAAGCCCTCTGCCTTTGATTTACCTTTTTGATTACCGGATTCGGTTCGAAACGAGGGGTAGGAAGACGATCTACTCGCGGAGCTTCCACGAGCTTCATTTATGACAACATAAAATTAATGCAAATCTCCAGATACACCTTGTTTGTTTCTCTCACGAAAGAAGTTATAAAATTTCGTGAACGACGGTGTTTACCTAACAAGTTGAATAACTCACGGTAGTGCAGTGGTGTAACACACACTGCTGTCCCACTTCTGATATTCATTATCCCACTTCTGATTTTTTAATTCCTATCACTAACTCATGTCATTTCAAACATGGCAAAGTGTGGAACGCCTCGACACGTGTTTTTTAACTATGTTAGCATTTTCAGGAGAATATTGAAACTGAATGTTCTATCCTAGTGTGCTACTTATATACTAGGTATATGTCCACCCAAACGTGGAAGACACCAACAGTCAGGTTAATATTATTCATGGTTGGGTTCACATGTTAACCTTGGCTTGGTCTTATATCACTAAACTATACAGAGGGCTAAATGGGGTAGGTCCATCATCCTTATTCAATTCTTTATTACTATTCTTGAATATCTCAATGCTTTTATATGCATCTAATTTTCTAACATTCTCAACTTGTGCATTTTCTATCTGATGAAAATATGAATTCTTTCTTGGTATATTCAACAGGAAACTATACTTTTCTGGCTATATGACATGACAAACAATCAATTACATCTATTGAACACTCACAATAAATGAAATTCTTCGGAAGAATCTTATTTTCATATCCTCATCTTAGATATTCAACAGATGTAATAATTCAACGTTCGGCGAGGCGAATAACCAGGAAAAAAGTTGTTTTCTGATGAATATTCCGAATGAGATTATACTTATACAACGTTTTTATCTGAAAGAGGAGGTAAATTCTCAACTTCAGAAAATTTACCAGGAAAGAAGTTGATTTCTGTTGAAAATATACCGAAGAGGAATTCATATTTTTATCAGATAGAGAATGCTAATTCTTAATGTATTTCATTTGTATGTATCAATTTTTTTTCATGTTCATAATAAATATAGCTGAGAATAATCCTTTTCGAATTATGTACTCTCAATTCCAGGAATATCCTTCTGCTAACTTATTTCATCCCACTTCTGATTGGTCTGTATTCCTCCTTCAAAAAAATATTCACCAGCCGCTTACCTCCCAGGCAAGTCAAACACCGTTCGGAAGGTTGTTCGGCTCCAGAAAATATGCAAAGTGTGAAGTACTTAAGGGTTAATATAACAAAGCGGCACTTTTAATCGGATTTCCATGTCTTCCTAATTAAAACACATCAGCGTTTAGCAGCAAGGAGCCGCTGAATCTTTCTAATTGCTAATTATAACTCTTGTGTATTTTATAAATTGAGATTCTAATCGCCAATGATGATAATGAATTAATCGGGATTCTTGGTCGACGAAATAAACCTACTTTTAATTACTTCCTCGCCTCTTCTCTTCCAACGAATTGTCTCTGCTATGAAAGGTGTTCTTATCGGCGAAATCGTAATTTTCTTCGGGAAAAGTTTGCCGAAGTTGCTCGCCAGATAAGTCATAATTTCTTTGACACTGGACAATTCGAACGGAAAATATATATATAGAGCATAACTCCATCCGTAATTAGATTTCTGGAGTTTATTTTTATTGTCCCTCGACTTTTCAGAATGATGGTAATTAGTTTGAAACTCTCTTCAAGTTGAGTGATAATCCAAACAGCCAGTGCCCAAATGATAAGGGCGAGTACACATGAATGGCAATCATTGTTCAAGTTATTCCATGTTTCTCTAGAAAGAAAATCAGATGCATCTCATTTTTCATTGTTTTTTTTATGATCTGGTACCCACGAAAAAGGATATCCGTAATGTTCAGAGAACATCGTGAGAATCAAGGTAGGAATTGGTGTTCGTCTTAAATTTATGTAGGTTATATGACTCGGGAAAAACCTCCCTTGGCAATGTGTTCTAGAGCCTCGCTGTTCGTTGGATGAACGAGTCTTTGGAAAGAGATGTTCTGCAGGTCTCCAAAGTGACAAGCTAGCAAGAATCATACCTCTGTCGGTATTGTAATTGGTATTGTTAGGTGGTGGATGGTGATAGAAATAAAATCATCACTCAAATACCTTTCGATTACATAGTTATTTTCATCAATATCACCACGATTATTTTCAAACGGATAGAAATTCAACTCATAGCAGCCCCTCAAGCTTCAATTCTTTGAGAAATTTGAGGATTTTGAGAGGATCTGTTCGTGGTATCCCTTCCACGGTCAGCTGGTATGCTCCTAGTACACAGTAAAAAAAATAGAGTGAAATTTAACACTATACCTGTTCCCAGGAGGACCACTAAGCTTTAGAGTGAATGATTTAACTCTATAGTTTAGTATATTATAGTGTGATTTTATCAATTCAATTAGTGTAAATTTTCAATGCAAGCACATTGAAACTTACTCTATTTATTTCTCTAAATATATTAAATAAACACAAAAATAGAGTTGAAAGAAACAATTCCGAGAGTGAATATTCCACTCAGGACCCAAGCTAGTGTCAATATCATCACTTTAGAGTGAGATTCAATAACCGTAGTCACAAAAGTTTAGAGTTGTAATGTAATAGTAGAGAGTAGATTCCACACTATTAACATTGTCGGATCCACCGGAATTTGATTGAATTATTTACTCTACGTGGATGTCAAATTGCTCCTGCATTGTTCAAATTGACACTACTATTTGTTCAGGTGCTAATAAGGAATTATCATTTATTCATCACTTCAGATTGAAATAGAACACTAGTTGAGTAAACTAGTCACTACTTCCTGTTGAGATTTCATCCAAGTTAAATTAACCATTCTTTCACATGTCACAGTATTTATAGGCCCCCGACAGACGTTCAGCGGTGAAGTCTCCGCAGCGCCACCTCTATGCAGTAGCGAGAATTGACGGATGAGAAGTAGTGTGACTTCATGATATTTTAATCGTTTGATATTGGAAAGATGACTCGAGTCCCACTAGACTAATTAGTAAACCTTTATCTGTTTCATAAATCGCTCGAAATAATAATTCGAAACGGGAAAAACAGATAATAACCGACATAGGTATACGGAAATACGTTCATAACTCAATGTTGAAAAAAATGTCTCACTACGCGGGTATACTAAAGAAGCTACTTGAAGGTAATATCATGATCATTATATCATCGACACCATAATCTGGATTACTTATTTCACTATCTAGTAGATTGAACGATCTGAAACTGTATAGATTGATATTTCATCGTATATAGATTGAATTGAACAATGATAGAGTGTCAATTTAATCGACAAGAGAGGAATATTCAAGTTCACTAGTGTCAGTGAACACTAGTATGAATTCAATTTCAATTGTTTTTGAATTGAGTTATCTGAATTGATATTTTATTGAAATTTCAGGAATATAGAGTGAATTCAATACGAGAATAGTGAAAATTCAATCTAGAATTAGTTTCAAAGGAGATAATCTGCGAGAAGTGTAGTAATAGAGTTGTTTGCAGTATTAGAGTGAGTTTGTCAGAGTATTTTAACTCTAAAAACATACTCTACGGATTTCACTCGAAGCGGTTTTTTACTGTGTATATTCGATCTTCTGTGATATACAAAAATCACTTCAATGAATCGATTAAAATAACTGTCAAATCTTTATTCAACTTATTATACCAATAATTTACAGTAACACAGCAAGATGTGGTAGGGTGTTTTTGGAAGTTTTCTGCGGAATCTGCAGGTGCTGTACTCCTGTAAGTCGATAGATTCCTTAGATATTCTTTGAGTCTACAATGTCCCGTTAGAAATCCGGATATTGCTTTGAGACTGATTTTGCTAAGGTTGAGTGTCTTCTGTCTTGCTCGATTGAATTTTTCGACGAGATCTTTGGCCTGGAAGTCTTTGCCAGTGTGATGTTTTCATTGCCTCCTTGGCTTTATTGAGTTCTTCTTGGAAATAAGAATTTCCAGGGCCGATTCTGAACTGATCAGTGGCGTTGATGCCCCTTTTCGTGTCAGAATGTCTGCTTGTTCATTTCCCTCCACTCCAATGTGCCTCGGCACCCTGAAGAGGATCATCTTATTGTTCCTGATGCCTAGATTGCGAGCTAGATTGTAAAGTTAGTCTAGGCATTCTCAAACCATCTTGGAGTTGATGTTGAAAAAGCTGAACGCTTTGATGGCTGCATGATTGTCTGAGAGGATCGCGATTTGCTTGTTCCGGTATTTTCTGTAGAGGTTCCGCTTGAAAATCATTTTGTTGACATCGATAACTGTAGTCAAATGTGTGATTTGTAATGCTGTTGAACGCATTGTGTGAAGTAACGTGAGATAGAGTGTATATAGTGAAGAGGAATCAGGAAAATGTTCAAGATGTTGGTATGGCTGTTGATATTCGATTCATACATAAATATTTTCGAATAGCCTCGTGGTCATTATTTTGGGCTGTGGCTAACGAACGGAGTCTGTTGCTATGCAATGCACGGTCGAAGCACTCATTTGGCGTAGATAATGCATTATCGAAATAATGTATTCATATTTGCGAAAACGACTGCTGATGAGTCTGGTCTGGTCTGGCCTGCCGTGTTCATTCGTTACACGTTCAATATATTCGTTCGTATTCGGGATAAATTGGTTTTGTCTGTACAAAGGATACAAAGCGTAAACCGTTTGATTGGCGTACATATGGCCGATGGACATCGACGTAGACACATGGCTCCCACTGGTGGGGATGTTCGAAAATCGACATCAGATAAACCGGCATAATCGTTCACAACAACCTCAGATAAAAATAAAAACATTCTGCGTATTCATGGTGCTGACTGACACTAACTGTTGAGACTTGCATCAGTACAAAGACAGGTGGATATTACGTGTCGTTTGGTTCGATTTTTATATCCTATAATACGCTCCTGTTCTAGTTTCGAACAAGGATAGCTGGCTCTGGATACTGGAAACAATTTAACTCTTGTATGCACCTCTATTTTCAGACGACGGCTCATCAATCTTTCCCCATGTGTTCAGGTTGAAAGTACGAACCGAAACAGTGTC